TTTTTTTTTTTTTTTTCGCTTATTTATGTAGTCGAAGTTATTAAATAAGAGCAATAATAAATTAGTCTTGGATATCAAAGTCAAAACCCTCTCCGTACTAGTTCTTAGTGATGGGAGGAGGCATTCGAAAAGTAGCCCGAGTGGTAGCAAATGCCAATAGCAATCACCTGCTAGCAAGTCCGTAAATGACTTCTTCCTCTTCCGGAGTTTGCTTACAAACAAACTGATGACGGATTTGACTCCCTTGCAAATGCTACTACCTTACCATCGAAACAAATGAATAGTTCATAGAAGGATTTCGTTCCTTTTTGTGCTGTGCCGTATGAACTTGTTATGCTAACTAAGTGGTTCTAGCACCACGGCTGGAGGCAAAAAAGTGATGGTGTTGGAAATACTCATTCTTGTCAATCTAAAATTTTATTGTTTTAGATTAACCCAGGCAAGAATGCATCAAGCTTGCCGGCGCGGTCATGCGTTTTTGCACCTTATTTGAATAGGTCGTTAACTGCATGAATGGTTGTTGCTTCACACCTACCTTGCGCGCTCACTACCACAAATCATCGTGAATTTTGCATAAAGGAAAATGGACAATTTCTGTTTAGTGGTCGTTCCTTGAAAATGATTTAGCTCTTCAATGAGCAATTTTCCTTCCGGAAACTTAATGGAAGCTGAATTTGAAATCTTTAAGTCATATTTCGGCAGGAAATATTCCCCTAAAATTCCAGCTTTTCTGATTCTCGAATTAGCAATTTTCCCGCCTAAACTTTTATGCGTTCATACGCGAGTACCGTGCGTACTTGAGGGCTGAATTTGAAATCTTTAAATTGTACGTGAACAGAGAAAATCCACTTAAAACTTCAGCCTTCCGGCTTTACTGGCTGTCAAGTTAGCAATTTTCCCGCAAATCTTTCACGTGCCCATGCATGAGAACTGCGAACGCATAGGAGCTGAATTTGAAATCTTTAGCTCATGCATGCACAGAGAATATCCAAGCAAATTTTCTGTTTTCTATCTTCTCTGATTCTCGAGATCGCTTCCCGCCAGAAGTTTGCATATTTTTTTAAGGCATCCGTACGTGATACTCAGGCGTACGTGGGTGATGACATTAAAACGGAAGGGTCGCAAGTGTAGGTACGTACTCCCGAAGTTACAGCCTTCTAGCTTTTCTGGTTCTCGAGTTGAAATTGAGAGACAAAAAGGCGTGAACACATAGACACACACACACAGACAGCCTCTTCCCAACATGCGTTTTGCATTTACGTATATATAAAAACGCATAAAAATTAAGCCAAACTAAAGGTTACGAATAGCGACATTAAGCTTGTGGAGAAAGTGCTTTTATATTGTAAAGGCGTTGGTCCGAACAAATTTAGCTGATGGGAAAATCCATTTGGAAGAAAACGTAAAGACTTCTCCAACATAGCGATTGTTGTCTCTGATGACACATGCTCTGGGACACCGAAGAATTCTTAGCAAAATCAAAGTAAAAAAAAAGAATTTGAACTGTACGATCTCACAAAAATCTTTGAAAGAAAAACTGAAGCGGGTGAACTACCTGGATGTGACAGCTGTTCCACCTCGGACGTATCGGCAAATAGTTTCAGCACCAGTAAGCCATCGCTGTTGAGGGCTATTTGAAGGAGCGATGCATTCTTCGGATCAGTTAATAATAAGATAACTGAAGGCTGAGGTAACACACGAAACTCGATGGAAAATGGCAAAAATGAAAAAGGTATATTGACGCTGCCGCCAGGCAGAATAGTCATCAGCTGTGGTCGCGGCATCTGAAAAGTAGCAATCTCCGATAAGCGACTTCGAAAAAGAGATTTAGCGGGGAGGAAGAGAAAACCCTTAAATCTCCGAAAAGAATACAGAAAAAAATATGAGTGAAATGTAAAAATTTGTAAATTGTAAATACATCGTCCTAGTGTAACAGCAATAATTTCCAAATAGTAACCTGGCAATCCCTTCGCTGTTGTCTCGGGATTTCAGCCAACAAATCGATATTGTTGAGCATGACTCGCGCCAAACAACCGTGATAGCTAGTTTCAATACCCGTACTCATATCGTCTGGTGGCCTTCCTCCGACATGGATTTTAGAATCGAAGTCCAGCTTCCGATAGAGACCAGAGGGAGCAGTTGTATTCATGATAACGCTATCAATATACAGCTGTACTGAATCAAACTGGTGTATCCATCGCATCTCGTGCCATTCACCATCATTTAATGCTGTCCCGCCTGAGATCGTTGTTTGAGTAAGTGAACCTGCAACCGCAGCACGACTTCAAATGACGTTTCAGTATTATCCAAAACTCATCACTGTCCTAAACCTTTTGGGATAAATTTTTGGAATGAAAAACTACAGGGATTTCAATTCTCTAGTTTGCGCTAAAGTTGTTGATTATAAAGCGCACATAAGGATCACGCACTTAGTCACTTATGCCGTCGATATAACAATTTTCTTGCAGATCAAAAACGCACCAAAATCAAAAATAACATGGACTTTTCCAAGAACAATTTGAGCAATGAGTAAATCTCCTTGATCAGCCATCGAAAATATAAAAATTCCATTTTCAAACGTCCGGAACATAACAGTCAGCTGATTTTCATACATCGAAACGATACCGGCCTTACGAGTATCCACAGTGTACATGTTGTCGTTGAAATATGATATTGCAGTTGCTTAAAAGTACTGGTTTTGACAACACAGACTACACTACTACTGCATCTTCCAAAAAAAATTTCCGAATTCTGAAGAAAGCAGCACCGATTTACATCCAAGCTCATTTGCAGATGCATCGCATTGTTGAAATGGCAGCTATCAGAAGCAACCATTTTTGGTCTGCATACGCAGGAACGATTATAGGGAGGAGCCGAGGAACAAAAAGGATGGAGTCAGTTGTCCGGAATGGAGTTGACATAGTCGCATAAAGGAATAAAAATATGGGTGAGACTTGTGCCACTGAGCAACAAATCGCTTAAGGGAAGCTAAATTCAAGCACAAAGTTGAGAGGAATAGCAAAAAAAGTTTCTGTACATTTTGGACAAGCCTGCTTAGTACCAAATGCGAAATCAAAATGCATACCACAACTTAAAAAATAAATCACGTGCGTCTGTTTTAGTACATAATAATAAAATTTGTTAACAAAAAACTGAAAAAATAACAAAGTGTCATTCATCTTTTAGAAAAGAGAGAGATTCATCTTGTGCTTACTGGAAAGTGGGGTTATCTCCCTCAGCCCGCTCTAGTGGGAAGAACCTTTAGCTCTGCAGTTTTCAAGACATTTATATTTCTCATAGCTGGTTGCAGTGCCTTGTCCTGCAGCATCTTGTACTGTTTCAAATGAAACAAAACAATAAAAGTACTGACGGCATGTAGAATGCTAACTGGGTTCCACCAGCAAGTGCTGGTTAGCTTGCTTCAAAGAATACGTGATAATGTTTGTGATAACCAATTCTCAAAAATGTTTTAGAAAAATGTTTGGGACTTACAGTATTTGCAGGCAGTTATCATAACGGTGGGAGTGATCTCAACACTTGAATTATATACAGGCACAATGTGAATCCGTTTTGCAAGTACGTCCAACGTCTGCCACTCGTAAGTGGACGCAGACAGTGATGAATATAAAATCTGAAGCAGAGAAATCGATGCAAACAGCAACTCAACGCACGCAATCCTTCCCGATTGCGAGCTTGAGGAAAACCAAAATGTGTTCGTTCAAACAGCAGCAGCTCAGAACTCACATTTCTGCACTCAGTTGCATGAAAGGTCTATGAAGAAGAATTATGTTGCGAAAACTGTTTGGAATTCCCAATAAGCCATGAGTCTGCATGTGCGTATTGGTTCAATAAACTTGAATTCAGATACTGTAGGTCGCTTTCTATCGAATTTAGCAGACAGCATAAATTCGGCGCATTGGTCAAATTAAATTTGGACGTTTATGCTAAAGCAAAAATGTATACTGACAATAGGTTGTCGGTATGTATATGTTTCTGTGTGTCTCTGTGTCTGCACTTCTATCACCTGCATTCAGCTCAGTAGCCGGTGAGTCTAAGAAGCTAAAAGTTCTGGAACATGTTCCTATCCTTCAGGGATGCACCATTTTTAAAATCATCCACGTGCGCCTGAGTTTAACTTAAGAACGCCTGAAAAAACTGCTTATCCTTTTTAGCTGGAAAAGATTTTCGAGGACCGGACAAGGTAGGAAGTTAAAACTTCAGGGGTGTCCTGTGCCCTTATGCGAGCTAAAGATTTTAAATTCAACTCGAACGCAGCTGTATGTCACATGTACGAGCATGTAAAAACTGCAACTTCACAGGGGGTGGCAAAATGTCAACTCAGAAACTAGGCCGAGTAGGTTCCTTTAATTTTACAATATTTGCTACTAATACTTGACTTCATACGCATAATGAACACTTGCGCACGCATATATCATGCATACGAGCACGACAAACAATTTTTGGCAAGAAAGCGATTGTGGGAGCTTGTTAAGCTAGAAAAACGATGTCTACAAATTCAAGCGACCTCACCATAGCATGAAATCATGCAAAAACGCATGATTGGATGGACAAGCCTGGTGCGCTACAGCTTGTTCTGTTTTGTTACTACTTCGCTCATTCTGCGTCATAGCGTTAGCAAATTTCCATCTAGATTTTCGTAGCTTGCATTTTTGCAAAGGCCACTTACACAAATATAAATACAGCGCATTCAGTTCATGTTTATTATGTTTTTGCATATATGCAAACGCAAAACGCATATTGTGACGACTCCGATGTGAGCGTGTGTGTGTGTGTGTGTGTGTGTGTGT